CAGGAGTCCTCACTGGGCTAAACTCGGGGACAGGAGCCCTCACCGGGCCAAGCTAGGGAACACGAGCCCTCACCGAGCCAAGCTCGGGAACTGGAGCCCTCCGTGGGCTACACTCAGGAACTGGAGCCCTCCGTGGGCTCAGCTGGGGATCTGGAGCCCTCCCTGGGCTAAACTGGGAATCAGGAGCCCTCTCTGGGCTTAATGGGAGATCCGGAGCCCTTCCTGGGTTGAACTGGGGATCAGGAGCCCATCCTGGGCTAAACAAGGAATCAGGAGCCCTCCCTGGGCTATACTCGGGAACTGGAGCCCTCCGTGTGCTACACTCTGGAACTGGAGCCCTCCGTGGGCTCAACTGCGGATCTGGAGCCCTCCCTTGGCTAAACTGGGAATAAGGAGCCCTCCCTGGGCTTACCGGGAGATCCAGAGCCCTTCCTGGGCTGAACTAGGGATCAGGATCCCTTCCTGGGCTAAACGAGGAATCAGGAGCCCTCCCTGGGCTTAACTGGGGATCAGGAGCCCTTCCTGGGCTAAATGAGGAATCAGGAGCCCTTCCTGGGCTTAACTGGGGAACAGGAGCCGTCCGTGGGCTACTTACGAGGAGCTGGCACTGGAGGGTGCTCTGTAGGAGCAGGCACAGCGAGGCGCTTTCGAGGAGCTGGTACTGGAGGGTGCTCTGGAGGAGCAGGCACAGCAAGGCGCTTTCGAGGAGCTGGCACTTGATTGTGCTCTGGAGGAGCAGGCATAGCAAGGTGCTTTCGAGGAGCGGGCACTGGAGTGAACTCTGGGGCTGGAGCCAACACTGGAGCGATCTCTGGGGCTGGAGCCAACACTGGAGCGCGCCTAGGGACCAGAACCAACCGCCTTCTCCTCCTCAGATTCCCCTCTAGGCTCGGGGTGAAAGGCGCGGCTGGCGGGAGTGAGCCGCGTCCGGCGGGCTCATCTTCGGAGCGACGAAACGTGTGGCGGCTTCTATGCCCCGGGGGGAAAAACAGGAAAACAAAAACTATTAAAAAAGGCGGAAAACAAACACGGGGGAAAGGACGCCGCTTACTTTCAGTTTTGGTCTGCTGTTCTGTCACGATACACCCAGGGAAGGAAGGAATGAGGAGACGCAGGAGAATACTTTGAGTGGGTCTTTAATCCAACAAACAAAGGTTTACACACACAGGAACTCAGGGATGACATTTAACAGCAGACAGGAAACAAAGGACAGAACACAGACACCAATACAATACACAGACAACAATGGGACACACCTGGGAACAAATTAACTAATTAATCAAACACAGCTGGACACACATGATAAGCAATGAGGACAGGACACAGGAAGAATCAAATAAGGGCAGACAGGAACATACACGTGACAGCTGTCTAATATAATACCCAGATTTTTGACTCTAGAGGAAGTAACAGTACATTCGTCTAGTTGCAAATTGTAATCCAAGAGATTCTGTGTACTGTTTTTTGGTCCAATAAGTAATATCTCTGGGGCAACAGCTTCTAATGTATTAGAGAATATAGTGCTCATGTTGCTAGTCATTTCGTCTAGTACATGTGTATTTATGGGTACAGAAAGCAGTTGAGATAAATCAGGCAGGTTATTTGTGAATCTGTCTTCTGGAAACAATAGTTCTGCCCGGACAATAACGCGGAGCCATATGGTTAACATCAATAATATGCAGCATGCACAAAACAAGGAAATGGTCAGTAACTTAATCACTTTGAGGTACGATATCTATATCAGTTAGATCGATTCCATGCGATATCATTAAATCTAGCGCATGATTAAAACGATGAGTGGGCCCGCCCTTACCAAAAAGTAGTATACTTCAAGTTTATTTTAGTAAGTATACTTAAGTAAAGTTCAAGTATATTTTTAAGTATACTTTATGTAGTAAGTATCTCTGACGGGGCTCATGCTTATACACAGTAGCTTGGTGGAGTAGACTCATTTAGACCAATATAACCATTTGGTTTTAGCCAGGTTTCAGTGAAGCAGAGTACATCAAAACTATCATCTGTGATCATTTCATTTACAATAACTGCTTTGGGTGTGAGTGATCTAATGTTTATGAGCCCAAACTTAAAAAATAGTTTTTGTTCATTTATTTTACATTTTTATGGTTTAATCACGATCAGATTTTTTCTAGATCCTGCATTAAATTGATATTTTGACCTCCCTCTTCAGGGAACAGACACAGTCTTAATAGATTGGACAGCGCAAGTACTTCTATCATTTAAGTGGGTAGAACAAAAGCCATCATAGCAGTTATTTGAGAATTGGCTTACTAGTCATATGGATGCAACTGTGATTTTCTAATGATCCTGAAGACATTGGTTAGCATGCTCAGGTGTGTTTGATTGGGCTGCCTACACAAAACCTGCATGGGCCCAAAGGATACAAAAGTTGCTCTGGGCCCGAAAGGGCTGGCCCATGGGCGAGCCCGCACTGGGCCTGTTTAGGTTTGGTGTGGGCTGGCCCTAGCCCACTGTGCCCACAAAAATCCAGCATGGCCCCCGCAGGGACATGTTTGCAGGCATATGTGTGTGTATTCTTATTATATTAATTTTAAAAATGTAAGACTAAATACTCCATATAGTGTATCTGTATATTATTTTTTATTCATTTTCATTATGTCTCCGATAATCACCAGAAGCAAAATAGTGTGCATTTGGCGTGCCACAGGCAAATATGTCATGTGTGCATGTTTCCAGACACACAGACACACCACTTCACTGAGACCTGCCTGCAGAGAACATCTCAGATGGCTCGCGGGACCGATGACCATCCAGGATCTGTTCCACCAGAACAGAGCCAACACATCAGACGGGTCCACATACATTACTCTTCCCCTGCCAAAGGCCAGCAACATTGAGAAGCTCTTCTGCCAGGATTGGATAACATCCCAGTACTGCAGGTTCAGAGGATCGTTGCCTCGACCTGGCAGTGGTGGCAACAAGCAGTGTCGAGGAAGCTACTTTAAAAGATGCCAAGCCAAAACGCGCTCATGATTAAAAGGAGTTTTCTGAAATGAGTTGAACTTGCCAAAAGTATTGGAGAGAGGACATCCTAGAAGAGTGTGTTTGATTCTTGCAGCTTTATATGTTGTACGAATGTGCACATAAAACAATTCAACCAAAGGACAAAACAGACTGCAACTGAAAAATATAGTTAAATGAAATGTTGAATAAATGAACGTTCGAAAAATTGGCGGCATCCAAAATGACATACTTCCCTTCTACATAGTAGGTGAAAATAGTATGTGAAAAGTAGTGTATTCACAAAAAAGTACCCGAATGACCTACTACTTACGTCGATATCCTGAAGTGTGCATCTTATAGACACTTTACTATAAGGCCATGGGAGAGGATTTGTGAATGATACTGGAGTGACACAATTTACGCTGGTCACATGACAGTGACATGATAAATATAGCATGTCTGGATTACATACATACTAAGTAATTACTTACAAAAGAAGTATATAGAGAGTATGCAATTTTGAACACTGCAATTGTATTTAAATATTTTTGCATTCTCTTGCAATACTGGTGGTGGGAGGAAAAACTATATTTCAATGCTTTTGCAAATCACTGCAAAGTTTTTCGGTGGAGCGCAAAAGATTTGTGAGTAAATGCTAAAGTATTTAAATGTATTTTTTTTTCTCTCATGTCATACTTTTCCTATCACCACATCCCCTTAGGAGCTCCATATAAATGTGATGAATGTTACCACAGACAATGCTTTTACCCATCTCTCATCTCTCAGTTTGTATATATAACATTACAATGGAAGTCTATTCTCATATTTTTGTTATTCTATATATATATATATATATATATATATAGTTAAATGAAATGTTGAATAAATGAACGTTCGAAAAATTGGCGGCATCCAAAATGACATACTTCCCTTCTACATAGTAGGTGAAAATAGTATGTGAAAAGTAGTGTATTCACAAAAAAGTACCCGAATGACCTACTACTTACGTCGATATCCTGAAGTGTGCATCTTATAGACACTTTACTATAAGGCCATGGGAGAGGATTTGTGAATGATACTGGAGTGACACAATTTACGCTGGTCACATGACAGTGACATGATAAATATAGCATGTCTGGATTACATACATACTAAGTAATTACTTACAAAAGAAGTATATAGAGAGTATGCAATTTTGAACACTGCAATTGTATTTAAATATTTTTGCATTCTCTTGCAATACTGGTGATGTAAATAATGTGAGGTGGGAGGAAAAACTATATTTCAATGCTTTTGCAAATCACTGCAAAGTTTTTCGGTGGAGCGCAAAAGATTTGTGAGTAAATGCTAAAGTATTTAAATGTATTTTTTTTTCTCTCATGTCATACTTTTCCTATCACCACATCCCCTTAGGAGCTCCATATAAATGTGATGAATGTTACCACAGACAATGCTTTTACCCATCTCTCATCTCTCAGTTTGTATATATAACATTACAATGGAAGTCTATTCTCATATTTTTGTTATTCTATATATATATATATATATATATATATATATATATATAT